TATGAATGTAACAGTTTACACAATACCAAATGTAACAATCATGAACTATGATGAAGTATATACTATACGTGTCCACCTTTTATGTGAAGCCAGGATTCAGAAATAAAAAAACAGTATCATACATAATTGATTATGATACATTGTGTTATGCCAGGAGCCCTAGTGATTATACTCCTAGCATAAAGTTAGTTCCACTGATTGAAAATGATGTTCATGATTATTAATGATATTCATAGTTTTTAAATACCTAAATCGTGATTAATCCATGCCATAGACCTGAGCCCTCCAAATACAACCCTGTCATTGCAAAATTGCAAATTAAAAATTGACCACCAGCTGTGGTGATGCAGGCTTGCTGGGTAATATGTAATAGTTGTTTGCTTGGTGACAAAGCTGACAAAGCTGACAAAGCTGCTGACAAAGCTGCTGACAAAACTGGTGATATGCAAGGCTAGCTCTTTGCAAGGCTAGCGCATGCGCAGTTTGTCCACCCACGTGGAGGCGGGCTCTTATTATTAAATAAAAAGACAATAAAAGGTACACACAGTCACACAAAGAGAATTTGTTTATTATTATTTATTAGTTTGTATAGTGGAATGGCTACCAGTACTGATCCTCCCAAGTCCCCGACAGACCCCTCCAGCCTAACAGCTGAAGAAAAGCATCACCTGATCACCAGAAACTTGCAAGTAATTATAATTAGTTTATTTCAAACTAGGGCCCCCTCTCTCTTTCTCTCTCTCCCCAGGAAGTCCTAGGTGATGATACATTACGTAAGATCCTACCCGAAAGGAACATCAGTATATATTGGGGTACAGCTACTACTGGTAAACCCCACATTGCATATTTCGTCTGTATTGCTAAAATATCTGATTTCTTAAAGGCCGGCTGTGCAGTAAGAGTAATATTGAAATCCTTTTAATTAGAGTATTGGCTAGGTGACGGTACTTTTGGCGGACCTGCACGGTTACCTTGACAACCTGAAGGCTCCGTGGGAACTGCTGGCCCATCGTGTCAAGTATTACGAGTTTATAATTAAAGTGAGCCACACCCATTCATTAACGACTATATATGTCACCACTAACCAGTAGTTAATTCTAGTTATTATTAATTTGCAAATGTAATTTGTACTGTTAGATCTAGAGGGAGTTTAGGAGACTTTTGGTGTCTCATATTTGGTCTAGGTCTCTTGAAATCTACCATTTGCCAGCTTTTGATCTAACTCTCATATTTAGCCCTAGGGGTCCTTAAGTCTCCCAGTTTTAGTTAGAATGGTCTCTCAAAGTTTTTCCCTAGATCTAGTAAATGTTGATGATCATTAATCCTGTTTCATGTACATCTAAGTAATGTGCATGTACGTCCCTGCATGGCCTGTTGATCTAATACTTCATTGAAGACCTCCACTAACAGACAGTGTTGGTATGGAATGACCCTATAACACAATAACCTGGTGACAACAGAATCCATTAATAGACACCAATAATTAAAGATAATTAATACTAATTATTAATTACAGAGTATGTTGGAGTCCATTGGTGTTCCTCTTGAGAAGTTAAAGTTTGTACGTGGAACTGACTACCAACTGAGCAGGTTAATTAATAGTTATCAATAGTTATAAATTTTATACTAATGATTAATTGATAGTTAATTAATAGTTAATAATAATAATAGTTAATTAATAGTCATTAAACAATAGTTATTTGTTTATAGTTAATTAATAGTTTATAATAGTTATTAAGTTATTAGTAATAATAGTTAATTACTAGTTATTAATGCCCATATTAGGGAGTACACTCTTGATGTTTATAAGATGACATCAGTCGTATCACAAGTAATGAATAATTAACGAGACACACCCACTCAATTAATTAAACCTCTCTCCATACACTACAGCATGATGCTAAGAAGGCTGGGGCTGAAGTTGTGAAACAGGTCAAGTTCCCACTACTGAGTGGACTACTCTAT